ACCCTTTACATAATCATGATTAATGTTTCCTTATCGAGCTTCTGCCGGAAGTAAAATTCATGCATCATATCCGCAGACTGATGGAGAAGCTTCCGTAACTATTTTCACATGATACACGACGGCCTGAGTGTGGCAAGGGAACCGTAATTCATTTTTCAATGTGGTGTAATAACTACACCACATGAAAATTATTTTCAATGATTCTTCTCAATTTATCGTCTGGTATTTGTCTCGAGATACGACGTTCTGTGATGGTACCATCCCACTGTATCAATGCGTGTAATTAGCCGCTTCAAAATTTAATTCTGATTTTCGAAAAGTGCGCCTACCCGCACTTTATTTTCTTCTGCATTCGCATATTCTATTCATATACAATAGAAGATAGATGTATATTTGAAAACCAGACGAAATCTGAAAAAAAGAAAGAGTGTCTTTTCAGAACACATTAATGAGTGGGCGACTCAACTAAGGATCGTTAACAGAGAGCGGGCGGCACCATTTTAGCCAATTGAAGTCAAATAGTTAAATTGTTCGATGCAAGGTTCTCAAAGTAGAGATTTCAAGATTTAATCTTATCAACATTAAAAGTATTTTGGATACAGATTTTCGGAGCAATAGCCATTTATAAAGGGCCTTTTTAAGGTTTAAACGTAAAAGTGGTCCAATATGACTAATATAACACAATGAGGCAAGTAAGTAATATTTGATAAGGAAAATATTGCGTGAGAAAGTGGACAACCTCAACCAAAAATTCACTGATAAAAATACCATTAAGTAATATTTATTATATCATATTAAAATATTATTTATTTATATTATTAATATTATATAATTAGATTGCCGCCACAGTTGGGAACAAATTCCATAAAGTGTGATAACGTGACTGCTTTAGCGTGTGACGGAAGTCATGTGATTACACTCGCTAATTCTGATGGAATAGCGTCTTCCGCTATCACATTTAGCGTAGTATTGGACTAGGCGCATGCGTAAAGTGTCGTAAGTGTGCTAATAGCGTACGTGGAACTGAATAGCTTTATACTGTCCAAAAATAAGGGGCACTTCCATGTTAATGTTAAAAGTACATGTTCTGGTTCTAAAAGTGCATGTTGACAAAGAGCCATGTTTTTTTCCGTGGTCGTTAACGTTTTCATTGTGAACGGCCCTTCACTGTCGTCACGTACTCTCCTTTCCGACCTCGCCTTCGTTAGAGCGTGCATCCGATGGACGCGCCGCCGGAACACAACATATTACGTCATGTTGTGCAGGCGCCGACGACGTCGCACACCGACAAAATCTTCTCCGGCACGTCATCTCGAACCCTCCTCCACACGCCATCCCGCACCCTCCCCGACACACAGCTCCGATAGTGTAACGGTTAACGCGATGTTATACTAAAGTTTGCGGGTTAAAATCCGATCGAGGCCGTGGAATTTTGAGGGCGAAAAAAATCCTAGCTTCCGGAGGGGAGGTAAAGCCGGCTGTCTCATGTTGTAGATTTGCTGTATGTAAAACATTCTCAAGGCTGAAACAAGCATCTGAGCGAAATTTAAATCTCCTATTTCGGCGTCTGAGTAATACTTCTTTTCCCCGCTAGGTGGTGAAAGAAGCGTAGAGAAATCTACGTTGTCAGAAGGAAGAGCGGACCCGATAACCCGAGTCTCGCCACGTACAACAAGGCAGTACTGAATCTCGTAAGTACAGAACGGAATTTATTTTAATAAAAAAAAGAAAATACGTACAGATACATGTATGTTTGTTTGTAAGAAATAGAAAACGTGCAAAATAAAAATTCATTGTGGTGTTTAAAATTCCTCTTTATACGCATTTCCCGACCACAGAATGTGATCCGATCTTAACATGGATTCGAAGAGACCAAAAAGAAAAGTCTACTTCTAAGGAAGTCATTGTCACTAGTTTTTTCGCAATATAAAATATGTATATACAATTTGTTTACGAGGATCCGTTGGTCAGGTGAATAGTAGTACCGTGCAGCCAGTAATGTATTCCGAATGGAGGTAAGCGAAAAATATTTGTTGGTTGTTTATCAAATTACGCATGTGGCATACGAAACATGAGCAACACGTGGTTGACATTAATTATATTTCACATGTACACCCTTCAGCCTGAGTATGCGATTTTCAAGGAGGGAGACGAGTGTATTTCACAATTCATGAAGGATGTTCGGTGGACATAAAATCGCATTGCATTGCTTTGAAGTAATGATAATTTCAATGACGTACTCGTGTTGCAAACTCGCATCTGAAATGTTCCGGTTCGACTTATAAATATATTAAAATGTAACAAAATAGGTAAAAAAATGTAATTATACAGAAATATGTAGAAGATGAATGGTTGAATTGGTGTGTTCGTGTATTGTACAAAGTATTATTGAAAGTAGGTATTTTGTTAGTAGAATGTGGTAGAAGAGTTACTCTAAGAAGTGACCACAAACTAAGGAGGGTCGTCAAACAAATGAAGTCGTGCAGGGCGATGTCGTTGGTGACGAAGGGTAGAGCGATCATAATGATGATGAAGCCCTTTACAAATGAGCAAACTATAAACGAACGTACTGACAGTGCATGGACGAAACTAGCAGTTATATGGCCAGCGGCGGCCAAGCAGTAGCTGACAAAAGCGGTCCCTTCTTACAGTAATCTCTCCACACCTAAAAGCCGTACCGTGCAGCTGTGAGGCGCCACCACCAGCTGCTCTGATCGGTAGTTTTCCGTGATTTCTCCGAACAATTCCTTGGGAAAGACGGACCAGTACCCTAACAAACTGGCCAAGGACCGCGCGCGTTCTTTCCTTCCTCGTCCTTATTCATTCATCACCCTTTACTTACACTCCCATTACACACCTACTTTAGGTAACTTCCTCACCCCTTAGACACACACTTACACGAATTAAACTACCACACATGCCGGGAGACCGGTGCGGAACTTAGAGCTCGTCCCGGCTGGGGCGGTGCCCCGCTGGTGGGAGATACCTGGTTGGAGAAAAACCTGTTAACCTACGGGTAGGTTGGCGGCGGATCTCACCTTCGAAGAGGAGGAACACTGTAACCTCCCAGGAAAACATTTACTACATTAAAGGGAACTATATTATTTTAAAAAGCACTTTTGACAATTATATTATTTTTTTCACTTCCAATTTCAAAGAGACCAACATGGCAAAACCATCATATTTGGCCTTCTTTTAGCTAAACAAATGTTCGAAATAAATGTTTCATTACATTTGCATGGAACACGCGTTACCAAAACTCATGTAATCATGAACTGTCAACGTACCTCCTCGAAATTTCATGCTAATCCTGAAGTTTACAAAAAACAACATCATGAGATCTGCTTGTAAACAGTACAAGATTAATTACAGGTTCATTTTAAATTTAGCAACCGAATTCATCCACTTTTGTCGTGTTGAGGGCCCGGCAATAAAGAGTTTTTCTGCCGAAAATTTGCCGTTTTCTCCCGCAGCATTTCATTCTCTACACCACGTAAACAGTAGTCAGGAATTAAAAAGTTTATTAAATTGTGTAATAAATGGCAAATTATCAGACTTCTTCTTCTTGGAAACTTCAATAATTCGATTCCTAGAGGGTGGCAGGTCAAATTGGCCGATATTTTTAACGTATAATATCGAACTATGTTTTTACTTTTCGTGAAGTAAATGTACGAGCAATAACTTCTCAGTAAGGAAAAAATTCAAACACGATGTACGGTACAAATTAGTCATATGTATCGATACAGTACATGAGTATCTTGGTTGGTGTGACTTCCAAACAAACCCACAGTAGTTTTGAAGCATTAGACACCTGCATTCCAATATTCGACTATTTTTACCGAAGTGTTGTGTTACTTGCAGCTAAGTAGAAAACACGGTGAATGTCAGCGTAATCGTAAAACGGTATAACGAGATGCCTCCTGCTAAACGAGTCACAATTGTCATTCAAACTCGCTTGTCATTAACATCAATTAAACATTCAATGTCATTATCAAGGTGACCAACTCAGTCGACGACCTGCTGGAAAGGGCAAATGTAAATGAAGAGACGTTGTATGTGCTTCATGAAATAAGTGAATAAATGTTCAAATAAATAAAACTTCAACCACAACATTAGAGTAAAAATTGAAAACTTACTTGTGCTACTGACGTTGATTAACAGAGGCCTATCTAGAGCAAGCTACGAACGGGAAAAAATTGTACAGATGTCTACAGGTAAAGGTATTACGTACTACTGAGAGTGGAAGATTTGCTGGCAAAGATCCAAGAGTACTGAACAGCACAATTTGTACGCTCAATTCTCATTGCAGCACGAGCAAGAGAGAATCAATGTCTACATGCAGAAGTGGGTTGGTACTTTAAACGCTATTTCTCAATGACTTTATTCTATAAGCATTCAAAATAATGCACAATCATAATCGAAAGTGACATGACACTGGGAATATTAAGCACTTCCATCGTGGGGTTAATTTCACCTGGTAAATAATATCCCATGAGTTTGCATTATGTCTAATTACGAAAACCTATGAAATTAGTAAATAATGCTCTACAAATTATCCACCAAACGATAATTCCACGAACACAGCAGATAAAAAGAGTTGACAACAGTAATTAATGTCTGAAACGTGCGTTTATAGTACTCTTCAGAATTTTTCTGTGCCAAAATTGCAAGTTTCAGGAACATTCATGCGCTAGTAGTATTGTCAATGAAAGTTCGAAGTATCCTGTGAGTAGAAAAATTAGGACAATTGAATAATTCGACTCACGTGTGTATGAATAACAACAGAAGGCATATGTTTCCTCACCGCCATTATTTGCCACTTTGTTCAATTAAACTCATGTGCCGAATTGTGTCGTACATTTCAGATTTTATTTCGCGAATTTTTAGCAAGGATTTACAAGAATCCGTTTTCGTAGCAGTCAAATACCCGCTGGCGAACCAGAAAAATGGGGGTTTTCAGTCATCTATTGGGGTAACTACAAAAATAAACACAGGCTCACCCAATAAGAAACCGCATCCACATGCTCAGCACGATGGAAGATATAGTAAGCAGCTGACATGTCTTATCATTCAAAACTTCAGTTTAACAGCTGGGACATTCCACTACACATTCACGAATCACACGCACACTACTATACTACTCGCACCAGTTTCTCTCAGCCGCTCTCACTGTCCGCAACGCCATCTGCAGCCCAACTCCTCTCCCGCTGGCGTGCTCGCCCCAACTGCTCAACCATTGACCAATCTGACACTCAGCAGCACGGCAACGCTATCGAGCGGCAGAAATCTCTACTATGAGAAACATCTGAAGGCTGAAGTATCCACCGCGAGTTTTAAACTGGTAAAAAAATAATGATAATGCTTTTTCTCTTCTCGTATGATACTTGGTCACTAAAAGCCGAATTGCTCCAAAATAACCTTAGTTCAATTATTCATTAATTCATTTATTTTATATATTTCTGCTTTTGTTTTCATATCAATTTAACATAAAAATCTGTAAAAGTTATTGGGGCTAAAATTTGGCTATAAAAGCCACATTTGAGGCATATGATATCAGAATAAGTGTACTCCAAAACTTTTACATGAGAAACAAAGACTTGCATCTGTTGAAGGAATATGCAGGCATGGATCCACGATGAGGGAAATTTCTTCCCTAAAATTTTTTAATAACTATTTTCGGATGATCATAAATATTTTCAGTATCATCATAACTCAAATATTTTCTGATAATCATTAAAACAAATAGAATCATATTATATAATGACTTCAATGTAGCCTGTGACATTAAAAAAAATCTGTATTGACACATTCGAACAAAACAGTTTTAATTTTGCATCCAAAAATTTGTTTCTGGATCGACCCCATAAATACGGAATGTGTTCTCACAACATTTTCAGTAAAATTATGGCGTATTTGAACTATCCTTCTGTGAGGTTATAAGGAACCTCAAACTCTTAACAAAGGTGAGAAAAAGTAAATTTTTAATGAAAAAACAGAATGACCTTGTTTGAAAGCAAACCTCTCATTTGTTAATAAATACTTTTGAGATGATTATTGAGCTAACAACACAGCATCATTAATATTTTTTTTTCAGCACTTTTTGAGACCAGGAAAATAACCAAACACTTCCCAAGGTTACACTTTTTTTCTCATCTTAGCGTAAGTCGTATTTTGAACAATGTTCAGTCCAAATTGGAATTATTAATTTAATTTTTTATCAAAGAACAGTAAAATCTGTGTTATGTATGAGGGAGAAGTACAATATGTGCACGTTTTTCTGAGCTCCAGAATCTCTTCCTCACCCTTTACCCATAAATAGTTGAATGATGAATATTCATTCGACCATATTGGCCAGTTTCCTACCTTTACCATAAAAATAATATTTTTCCATAAAATGCATTAAGAAAACATTAGTAAAATTATTGCAATTTGCAACTTGAAACTCAAATGGATTTTTGGTTCTTTGCTGTTGCTTTATTAAAATGTTTCTAAAACAGTTTTTGTTATGAAGACAACGTATTCCATTGAAAATGAAATCTTGATCTTACTCTGTACTCTAATGATTGAGAATAATGAAATCCTTGTGAACGTTCATTCAATAATTTTAATACAGGTAACAATAAAGGACATTGAAGTAAAAAGAATTAAGGATTAATTAAAAATTTAATTGAAAGTTTGAATTAGTAGAGTAATATTTCAAAAACGTTTATTTTTTTATTTTTGCATCTCCAAGGTCAAGATAGTAAGTAGTTTTGCAGGTCAAGAATGATTGAAATGAAACTACCATAGTGATCAGTATAGGGAGGTGATCACAATAGTCACAATTATTTTTGATAAATGATTATTGTAAGATTCACATTTTTCTCGTGTCATGCACCTGGAGTGTAACCCAAAGAGAGTTATTGCTGTGTTGTGCAATGACATGAAAAAAATGGCCAGAACTTTTAGGAAGCTGTGTGAAGGTTGCAATAGTATCTCATCTCTAAATAAAATGTTATTTCAGTTAAGGCAAGAACTGTAAAGATTTACATTATAGCAATATTGTCATATTTAAAGATATGGCTGTATTGTATTTGAGATGTCTCAATTCTCGTTACTACCTTATTGTAAGTAATAAGTCTTATTCATTGTAAAAAAATCCTTAGTAAAACCATTTTCTCCCTTTCTTTGTAGATTGATTCATTTCATGTAAGATTTCTCTTGTTCTCTTTTTTCAGATCATAAGAGTCTCATTGCAACAGTTTTGATACAAAACTTGGTTTTTAAATGAAAATGTCACTTAGGAGGATCCTAAGTGATGATACATGCAACATTCAGAATTAACACTTTAAATTTCTTTCTCTATTCTTTTTGGATATTTTGACAATCTTTGAAAGTCTCTCCTGAAAAATAACAGTTTTTGAGATAACACTATTGCTTTGAATTTGCAATATGTTTAATCAGAACTGTCATAATAGTGAGACTGGCTTAGGTGGCTCAGGGCATCAGCTGACGTCACTGCAGTACTTCTAACTGGGTGGTCCTAGGGTTGGAGAATTTGACGGTGACAGGATTTTTGACACTAGCTAGTATATAATTAGATCGAATTCAGCCGCTACCTGGAGGAGAATTCGTACAGCCAGCTGCTCTGATCGACAGTTTTCCCTGGTTTCTCTGATCAACTCTAGGAGAATGCCAGGGCAGTATCAAAACATATGGGACACAGCTACTCATGACTTTCCCTCCTTTTCCTTGTCCTATCCTCACCCCACACTTATACACACTCACACACACACTTACACTTACATGCACTACACTACCTCACCAGTCAGGAGTTTAAAGCTTGTCCCAATTGGGGCAGTGCCCTGCTGTTCGGAGATATCTGTTGGGAAAAACCCTGCAAGCCAACATGTAGGTTGGCACCAGATTTCACCATTCAGTGAGGGAAAGATCACCTCTATCTCCTGTGATACATACACTGCATCCTGAGAGCATACACTGCACCCACAGAGTTTCAAGATATTCCTAGTCTTCCCAATGATTTCTTGGTCTGTTTAGGTCCCTTCTTTGTTTTAATATACAGCTTTTATGGGTTTTGTTACAATAGTTTGTTATCTAATCTTTGACTCAAGGTACATATTTTACATGCATTTTTGAATTATCTTTAATTATTATCTTATAATTTTAAAAATTTATTTTCAATGTTTCTCTGCAGATAGCTCAAAGGAATGTGCTTTTTGCATGTCTCATCTGGCAAGACTATTCTATGACTCATAACTCTTCTTCAAATGTCTGCCCACTATATTTAACTATCTTATATAATAAAACCTGTAACAATATTCTGAATATGTTTTTAAAGCTTCCTCAGAATTTTGTAGTAACATAATAATAGGATTAGAATTCTTCATGATTGTTTGTATTTGTCTTCTATTTTTATAACAACCAACCTGACTTATCACACATGTCATGAATACAAAACTCATTAAATAATATTTTTTTATTTATCATTATTGTGAGTAAAGTGTATGCATCCATGATTTCTGGATATATTACCATTTTTTTCTATAAATTTTGAATTTATTTATTTGATTTTTTGATACTTATTTGAGTAATCATGTACAGTAGAACTTTGTCACACGAGACCCAGTTATAAGAGAATCCGCCTATATTGGGCACTTTTCGTGGTCCTGAGTATATTTCCGCTTAAATAATGTATTTATTTCCTGGATATAAGGGATTTGCTTATAAGAGATTTCCGTTTACAGTAGACAATATTTAGGGTTCCATTTATAAGAAACGACATGGAAAAAACTGGCAGCATAGCCTTTCTGGCTGTTTCAACTCGCTGTCATGTGCCTGATGTGGCAACAGTATCTTCACAACAGCTGGGTAAAATCTGAAAACTTTAACAGAGATTTGGTTTATTTCTGCAACTGTAGTGGAATTTTATAACTTACTTAAGAAACAGAGCCTTTGAAAATATTAACACAAGAAAGATGGGATTTCAAAGGCTGCTGTCAATCCTGAGAAACACTTAAAGAAGATGTGACTCTCTCTATATAGTAATATGGAGGAAGTTCTTTTGGAGTGGTTTTGGCAGAGTCGATCATGAACCCTCCCCTTGATAGCAAAATTTTATGTGAAAAAGCCCTTGAAGTTCCCTCTTGTCTTAGAATAGACAAACTCAGTGCATCGATGGAGAAAAGGTAGACGAAGATAAGGTAGATGAAGATAAAAAGACATTCTCTGCCACTGCTAAAACGTCATGAAGCACTTGTAACGATGGAATTTTTAAAAAACTACGTTCCTTAAGAAGAGGTTCCAAATGATGATGTGACACTTTTGGCAACCTTGAAAGAAGAATCTTAAATATGAGGTTCAAAAGGAAACAAAATTCTATAACATCTTATTTTAAAAATCAGTAAATTATTGTAAATGACATTTTATACAATTACATTCATAATATATACATTATAAATATACAAGTATCTCCAGTATAAAACATTTATTTCTATTATATTCTAGTAAGTCATATTTTACTCTTTCATTTAGCATCTTGCATTTATCACCTCTATCATTTCCCACTTATAAGAAACAAAAGCCAAGACTGCCAAGTGTCTCTTACAATGAGGTTCCAGTGTTCTTATTCCGCATTCAACATAGAAATTTATATTTTTAATGTATCATAAATGTTTTTATTGAAAACAAAAGTATGTTTAGCTTGTCCTTTCCCTGTAAGTTGGTTCCCTGTTAGTTTTCCTCTTAATTTAGTGAGTGATGCAATTCCCTTTCTTTTCAACATCTCACAAATTGCAGACATAAAGTGTTGTGAGGTGTTCCTAAACAATTGGGCCATGGATCACATGGGGTTACTTGTTAGCATGCACATTTAGCTCCATTATGTGTTGTTTTTTTGTGCATCATGTATTGTCCATACATTGGTTTATACGTTTCCTTTCCGAGTGAAATTTTCTGCATAGATTGTTTGTAAAGCATGTGAATAAACGTTGTATTTTTTCAATCAATACCTTGTTTTAATACGTGCTGCCCTGATGATGGAAATAAATTTTCCAAAACATTAACAATCAAATACACAGCACTCTATTGTCAGTCTCGTGAAACCGCTGCCTACATTTATCATATCTGTAAATATTATTTCACACTTATAATTATAATAAAAAGATAGTTGCAGAAACATCAATAATTGAGGGAATTTACTAGTAACACAATTAATAATCAAAATTGATTTAACTTGCAAGAGTTGCACCCTTCATTTTGATAATAACTTAAACATAAAAAATCTTAAGTTGTTATAATGCTATCATTAGATTGTTATGACAATTGATAAATGCAATATGTATTGAAAAATGCAAATTAAATAATTTTAAATTAAAATTTTCAGGTGGTGTATCTCCTACATCAAAGCTAAGGCAGATCCTCCACCTAAGGCAGCATACCTAAGGCAGAGCCTCCACCAATGTCCGCACCACTGTCTAAGACCACTTTATTAAAATTTTATAAAGTAATACGGTAGTGGAATTAACTTTGATTTATGGAAGAGATACTACTTTTAGGAATGCTGATGAGGTGTTGACGTAATTAAATAATGAAATAATTGAAGTCATCTTCATCAACTTACTAGATTTATTCAGAGGCTTTCAACTGCTTTGCCAACATCATCAGTCACACTATATGTGGTGGAAGTTGAGAGACAGTGGCACTCAGATCAGATACAACTTTCACATACTTTCAGATACTGCTGAAAAGATTGAAGCCGGAAACAGAGCTCTGAAATGAAGTTTCTTTGATGTGTCAAATGTGTGAACAAATTTCAATTGAAGAGATACATGACAATTTACAATTTTTAATGTATATTAAAACTTGGGGCAGAATCAAAATAAGCCAAACCATTCATAGCAAGCCTCCCACTATTTGTAAATGTTAATACATAGATTTTGGTTGAGGTAATAAAATAAACCATATCAAAATCAAGGTATTAACAATGAGATGCTTATATATTAATATAATAATACATAATATTATTTTTTAAATAATTACATAATTCTAACATAAATAAATATTTAATTTATTTATGTTAATATTAATAAAGAAGGTAACAAACAAAAACTCTAGGCCGTGATCTGCCATTGGTATTGCAATAGTTAATGTGGCTTATCTTGTTACTGTCCCTCTCCATTTGTATAATGAAATTATTAAAACCAATGTAATTGAAAACAGACAGTGGTGGCTCCAAAATGTAGAAAAAATGAATCACGATAGAATCCTAAAACAGACTCCATGATATCAAATCAGGATAGAGATCATCAACCAAACACATTAAAAGTCTGTTTGTGATGTATGAGGAGAAGGGGAGTGCAAGTAAATATAGTAACTACTTAAACTACATTATGTGGATATCTTTATTCAAATACTATCAGCAATATGATTCTGCAGCTTTTGTTATGAAGGCAGAGCCAGTATTACTGTTAGACACTGACAGCAACTAATTAGAGTGCAAACTTTTCTGGCCCTCTATCAACATCAACTATTTTATATTAAAACTCATTTCCTTATTTTGTTTATATTTTCTCTTTTAAAAGGTGCTGGGTCTGTAAAATATTTATTCCTTATTATTCTTATTGCTTTGAGGATTCTTCTCACACTACCTGAATCCATGGCCAGTGATGATTTTTTTTTTACCTCTTACACATGCTGAAGCATCAATGCTTGATCAAAGTAAGTAAAACAATTCACAGAACAAAACGCCTGCAAAATTAAATTTTAATATACCCAAGATTTTAAAAAAATTGTAAAATCATTAAAGGCCATTATCAAATCATACAAGACACATTTTGAGAATATTTTAAGTATGCAATGAAATGAAGAGTGAGCTAAAGAAAATTTAATGGAATGTATAAAAGTTGGAAATAATATGAGGGGTTGTATTATGTAAATAAAAATAATGTATCAACATACAATAATCCATTTATTATGAAACATTTACCATAATGTTCTGCTTATGTATGTATACAAATTGCATTGATTAAAATTCACATACATATTACAATGTATATATAGCAACATTCTTAAAAGAAACTACAGTATTATATTGACAGTAAATATCCTATACACAGATAATAAAGATATTAAAACTGTTGAATGATATAGCAATCGAAAATATCTTCATAAGTACAACTCTGAAAACTTTTCTTGAATATTTATCTAATATTCATGCTACAAAGTATCGCCACAGACATGGAATAACAAGAGGTTTTAACTCACCATGTGGATATTTTGTACTGTCCAGTATAATATAATAAATGACAAGATGTTGGCTTTGCAGTATTTTTTAAAGAACTTTGAAAATATACTGTATGCACATGAAAAATGTTCAATCTTTCCATCAAATTTTATTGGGCACATTTTTGTTATTATGTTTGTATACTGCTCAATACAAGAATGGTGTTGCACCTATTACTTAAGTACAGCTGACAGTGGTATCCAAAGCACCAAACTAGATTTAAAACCTTTTCTCTACTCCGTATTTTCACACCGAAAGGCATACCATGGGGCTAATGGAGAAACTACTAAGATTCTTTGTAGCACCATTATAAAGACACAAATTTCATTCTAAAGGATAATCATACTAATTTTTATGTATAAAATATGGTTCTTGTTGAAATATGAAGAAACAATTATTGTAATAAATATGCAATGTAAGATAGTGAAATATAATTTTATTTTTACACTAAAATGATTAAAAATCTTTCTTTCTTTCCTTTCTACTTTTTATGTGACTCATATGATATCTGCTGTACTACTCAGCATTTTAAATGCAAACTGTATTTATGTTAATAATCTATACTGAAGGATGAAAACACTAGTAATATTTTTTATTAAATCTTAATTTATTATGTTTGCATTGCATGCATAACTTATCCATCACCCCATGGTTTAATTAACACAGGAAAATCATGAAAACATTTACATTCCTTTGGTGTTTGGCAAGCTCTTTTAGTGAATAGGTCCAGAATTCTCAGAATTCATATACAGACCATCCAAAAAATCCACAGAATTTCTACTCTCTAATAAACTTATATTGTCTTCACCTACACCCATGACCGAATAGATATGTGATACATGGAAGCTTTTAGTATTTACAATGCAATACTCTCTCAACATACATACAGTTAAAATTATACATTCATTCAAATATATTTTGTACAGAAGTCATACATGACAATAAAATTACATAAATTTTCTCATCAGCAGTGTTTAATAAACTTTAATCTAGTCACAAAAATGAAACATTTACAATTAAAATAAGGAAAATTAAATGTGTAGAAAATGAGTCATGATCCAGGAATAAAAACACTTTTCTTCAGTCTTATAACATAGTTTGACCTTCTGTCAAAAGAAGCATATCTTTTACATTAAATCTTCAAAAAATATGAATGAAAAGATGAACATGATAATCTGTCAATGTGTGACATTTTCTATGAAAGAAAATATCTCATTTCCAATAAATTTGTTATTTTCATGTAAAATTGTTTCTGTTTTGGCTAAACAGTGTAGAGAAATTCTAGTGAGAAAATGTGAATAAACCATTATCTTGAAAAGTGTAACATTATGTATTTGTCAATAAAACTTAATGTGTAATTGAAGAAAACAAGTATTTAAACTATTAAAAGGAACTACTGTTTTAAAAAATAATCAAAACTAAATCATCATCTGAATAGTAAACTGATATTTTGTAATAACATCATGTTCAGGTTGCTTAAGTCTCAGTAGTGCTTCATTACGATTTCACATCCCCAGCACTCAGATAAAGGGTGAGGGGAGGGGAACCATGAAAATCATTATTATGTTACAACACTGAAGCTAGACCATCCCACATTCTATTGCAGTTTCATTTAACTGCTTTTTATTAAAACTCTAGGATGCGCACAATGTTGCACACATATTTTCTGCTGATAAGAACCGATTATAAAATAGCTGTCTCATGCTAACTGGCTAAGAACATAGGAGGTTAACAGCCTGAGGCTCTCCCCATGGGTGGCTGTTGGAAGAAGTGTTCGTGGTGCCGTTGCTACTGTTGTGGCTCCCAGTCAGAATGTTGATGTGGTGCTGGGGTGATGTGGTTAAGGGTGCTGCCTTCTGTGGAGATGTCACTGATAGTCTGTCAAAAATAAAAACAACAAAAATTATTTGTTTGTCTTTTAGCTCTCTTAGTTTTAACATTCACTGTATACCTTTTGCATTGTTTATAATTAAATATTGTAACAGCAAACTTGAATATTATTTTTAAGTTAGATTTATGAAACATTCAGAATGTAAATAATTGTTATGGCACTATATGTTAAAGAAATGTGTCTTTCTATGCTGTTTTTAGTCAGTCGTGAATTTGTATGCTCTTCAGGTTTTGAAACATTACACCTATTTATTTTAGATTTAATAAATATGCACTGATTAACCTCAAGTAAATATTAATCATCTATTGGTAATTTTTTATGGTAGTTGCTTGTGATACTATTTGACAAAAAGACTTTACTGTTGTATTCTTATTTACAACAATGTCTTTACTTTTCTGACTTGAATGAAGAAAGACTTGTTAAAGAAATTTGATAGCGGAGATAAACACAGTTTGTTCATGTTCTTCTTTTGTTTTAGTCATAGATTGAGTAAGTAATAAACATTTGCAACTCATAAAGTGGTAATTGTATATTATTAATTTTATTTAATATATTTTAAAACATATATTATTTAGTTTTAGAGTTATAGAGTTTTAGAGGTATTGCCCATACACCTCCCATCCAAATGTTTTTACACATCCAAATGCATTTCTGCAAAGTTTATTTCTTTTCCAACTAATTCCAACAAATCAGTTTTGAAGAAAATATAAGATTTTAATAATTTTGAGAGCAATACCTATAGTTTGTTCATGAAATGAGCTAAAACTGACTTGTATAAAAATTCTCAAAATTCTCATAGTTTTGATAGGAGAAATTTTCTATATGAATTTGGTGAAACAACCTCTTACTCAAATGAAAGGAAAAACATTATTTTTTATTGCAATAAAAAAATTGTAATTATTCTCATTGAAATCAATTGATTAAATGGTTATTGTCTGATAATTTAACCTCATACATTTTTATTAGTATACAAAGAATGGACATTTTCTACAAAATGTGTTAGCATAAAACATATCTGTGTCTTTCCAATATATTTTCACTATATATAACCATCAGTTCTATTTCTAAGTAGTTCATGATGATGATGATTATGATAATGATTATAATGATTATTAGCAATTTCTTCACAATTACACTTTCACTGTCAATCACCATTCATGACATTTATTCTTAGATAAAAGCAAATTTATTTTGACATTAAATGGGTAATTTTTCCTTCTCATGGAATATTTTTAAACCAATTCAAAATTAAATAGTATGTTCTTTCCCTGAATGAAGAAAAATAACTTGTAATTCTCAATGTTTACATACCTTGAAAAACTGCTGTTTAGATTCTCTGATCTGTCATCATCAAAGCACACCTGCAGAAATATAATAGAATAGTGAGTTTTTGTTTTGACATTGTAATAAGTGCTTTATTTTCAAAGACAGTTTTTAAAGTAATACAAAATTCAATAATGATAAAAAATTATTTAAAAAATCTCTTACTGATTAATATCAAACAACTTTTATTTATGAAAAGTATGGCTTGAAAGTTTATGAAAAATCATATTTTTTTAATTATGAGCTAATTATCAAACGTCCACAAAACATAATCAAATGAACAGAAATTTGGAGATTTTATATAGCATATTAGTGCATAGCTGGTGCATTTTGTGTTAATACATTATATTACCTTAATATTTAAAATATTATTCATATTTTATTGCTTTTTTTATTTAAATGTGGCATATTTCCCTCAGAATTTCAATTAATATGCATATTTGTCTCCTCAAACCAAAAATGTATTTCACAAAAGTGAATGAAAATGAATTCAAATGAAAAATTGTGGGAATGTCTTTTGTTCATTGCAAAAGTATTTATCTCAACTTTTAGATGATATTACAGCCCTGGTACCCGGAAACGATTTGATAATTTATCTCTAATAAAAAATTTGTGTCATTGGTTTTGATTCTGCAAAGATAATACGGATAAAATCATATTTTACTTTAAAACGTATCGATGCAACACCAGACAAAATACAAAATTAATTGTTAAAATAGAAAGTTTTTTTAATGTTTCATAAATACATAACATTTAATTGTTAGAGCATATTTCATTAGTTCTGGCGCATATTTTACAAATTTTAGAGCATATTTGAATGCATATTTCTCCCCTTTTGATAATGCAATAACTTCTGAGCCTTCATGAAAAGTGTTTGAGTAGTGGTGTCCATGATGGTTAAAATTATCGATTTAAAATATATATTTATGTAGCTAATATCTTTTATGCATTAGTATACACAAATCAAATTACAATTGTTTGCTTACAACATTTACACTTACCCAGGTATTACCATTATCTGGAAGAGATTCTGGTTCAGAGAAATCAATCAGCAGGCTCTTGCTCTCTGTAAGATTTTTATTCAGAGGGCTCTCCTTGGCTTTGCTGTTGCGGATGTTCTCTGAAATCCAATCACCAACTATTGTCAAATGCTCTAATTGTAAACCTTTGAGTTTGTTACTAAGTTTAAACATTAAATAGTTCATAGAGAGTAATGGAATTCATTGGCCAGCTTCACTGTCATATTTTTAATTGTTTATTTCTGTTCATTAATTTCTAATTATATTGTGTTTTTTATAAAATATTTTTCAATAGATATCTGCTATTTAAAAATTTGAAACAAAAAGTTCTCCGAACTCGATCAAAAAAATTGCAAATTTTAGATAATTCAAAATACAATGTTTTTTAGAAACCCTACAAAAGACTATGCAAGGAAAGTTAAAATAAAAAACCTAGCATATATAACAGGAGAAAATAAATTCTTCGTTAAGTACTGGCATAGGCATGCAAAACCTAAACCAAGAGAGATGGGGGTAACTACATATCTAGGCCTCTCTGGCCCTCTTTCTCTGTTAAAAATGTTTACTCTTGTATAGCATATTTTACTAAGAAACAAAGAAAAACATGTTACAAAGAGAATAAAATACACAACTTTAATAACGCAATAAAGAAAAACTATTGAGCTAGTGTTAACGAATTTGTAAAAGATTTACAGGATTGCCATATGATTTGAAAAGCCTCTTTCCCAAATGATCTGTATCAATTTCCCATCATCTTAACCAAAAGGGAAAATATGAGCTTCATCATATTTACGGAAATAATATGTTTTATTACATAGGGTCATACGGCTTCCTTCAAAACGACCCCTTGACACATGCCTATCAGTACTGGGAAGTAGAAATAATAAAAAAGGACAACAGATACAAAGTACATGCGAATAAAAAAAAAATTAAAAAGGTAAAAAGAGTTCCAGAAAAAGCATTCCAGAAACAGACCAGGATATAGATACTGATAAAATGTCACATGAGTACGAGAGCCAAAAGAGAAAAATAATGAAATTGTAAAAGTTTTTGAGACACAATTCTTAGGATATAAACTTGGGAATCCTTTTTAACTCTCTACAAGAGTCAGAAATCAAAAGCAGAATCAAAGAACAAGGTGGAACTCAAATTATTATAATCTATTGCAGAAAGAAACTATGTAGAATAAAGAGAACCAAACTAACTAGGAAACAAAACAAGTAACTACTACAAATTGTTAAGAAAAAAAGAAACAACTGCTGCAATAATGAACAAAGTTTTTATAAATGATAAATGAAAAATATAAATAATGAAGTATAAAAATCCAGAATAGTTATAAATGCAAAATAAGGTGCAACTGAACCCATTATTACATATTGTCATTGCACTTGTCAAACTCAATATATGCCCTTTTTTTGAAAATGAGTTAGGGGCACTTTATGGAGCAAGAAACAACCAAGAATTGTACAGAGAACAAGTACCTTAATTGTACCTTACTTGTAAGAAATATAATGGGTTAAAATGTATAATAAAATAATCCTGTAAAATGACATTCACTTCACATGACCATTTTTACTGGTGTAACGACAATATATTTCATGGAAAGAAGTCCATTCTCGCTTCAAAGACTAACAGGAATGCATGGACAAATATTTATACAGAGAAGGAACAAATTTAAAATAAAACCATTACAAAGAAACAATATCTTTTACAACAAACAGAGGGTTAAGACAGGGATGTGACCTGTCACCATGCCTGTTCAACATATAAGCTTACTACTTAATCAAGGAATGAAAACAAACTATAAGAAAGGGAATAAATATCAGGAAAATAAATAAATATCAGGAAAAGAAAGAAGATCCAAACAATTTTGTAAGCAGAAGATAGAGTCATATTCCATCATAATAGAATCATAAGATGACTTGGAAATTGCAGCACATAAACTGCATAAAAATCTCAGAAAATCAATATGGAAATTTCCACATACAAGACAAAAGCAATGGCATATCAAAGAAAATGAGAAGAATCAAAATTGTCATAAATGGGAAAATAATAGAACAAGTATTTAAATTCAATTATTTGGGTAACCTCATTGGACCCAGTTCGGAAGACATGGAAGACAAAATTCAGTAATACAACAGGATGAATGAATTAATCAAAAGAAACTTTGGAAGAGATATGACTACAAATAAACAAATAAATTTTTAAAAGTCAGTTGCATAATAATCAGAAATGCATAATGTGAATCGTGATAACTTAAAATAGCATAAATGATATTATTGGGTACGCAGGAGTGACAATTAATATGCACTGCTTATAGAAAAGAGGAGGAGTTAGCTATTGAATTCAACATTGACATTAAATCCTGATGATAGACCAGTAGAAGAATGTCCATAAAAATGTTAGAAGCACCAAAATCAGAAAATATACTTAATAAATGTGTCCATACTTCCACTTCCTGACCAAAAAGGTAATAAAAAAAATAATTTGCCTATTTCAAAAGAATAAATAAGTAAATATTTATCTTTATTTCTTATTCACAATAAATCTAAGCCACAAAATTCTTGCATTTCAAAATTAATGAATTCTCATCATATTCCATCCCAAGTAGTAAATCAATTTTTTTCATCCAGTCATGATTGAAAAGAAGAAAAATTGTTTTTACCAACAATAAAATCTAAATAATAAGAATTATCAGAACATGATTATCTACCTTGCTGCTCTTCAGTTTTGTTAAGAAGACTAATTTTCTTCTCATTCACTTCTGAGCTGCCTTCAGTCATCTGCCAGAGTTCATAAGCTGTGTTGAAAGACTGTGCTACAGTCAGTGTTACTGCTTGAGCCTGAAAAAAGTAATTTATAATTAATGACTATGTTTGCAGAGCCAGATTAAACTTGATGTAGGGCCTAGTCACAATTTTTTCATAGGCCTCAGAAAATGTTTTAGGACTATATTAAACTGCAATTATTAGACTTTTTAGAATTTAAAACATACAAAATACAGTATAGAAAGAGAAATCTTACCAAATGTTGAATTTGATTCTATTATAAAAGATTTTACCAAATCCAAAAATCGAAAAATCTTGTTAGTTTGTTAAATGACCTAAAACCATTATATTATAATATTTTAATTAAAGACCTAAAGATTGTGTTGTAATATATAAATTATTAGTTATTTACTTAAAATTTTAAAAAATTGATAATTTTGTGTACATATGATTTATTTATTTTTAGTCCTGAAATAAACTTTTCAAACATTTTATCAGGAGGCCCTGTTGAAGGGGCCCTCATGTTCCTAGGCCCAAGGCACTGTGCCTAACATGCCTACTGGCTAATCTGGCTTTGGATGTGTGACATAGCCTTGGAGTTAAGTTATTTACTTTATTTCTGCACATCTTATTAATAGATGTTATTAAAAATATGTTTTGAAAATAATTATTGAGACACAGTTGAGGAAAAATTTGAAATATTTTGAGACTTGAAGGGGAAAGTTACAAAAATTGGAAGTTAAGGTTTATAATAAAATATTAATAACCTTGATTTTGGACAAGATAATCAATGATGAAAATTAAAGACCCTCTCTCTTCTGTTTACATTGGATAGAGGCATACACAAAAATTTAAATCTAAATATCTGTTATATTCTTTTTAATTTAATCAAAAGAACATTTACTCATAGCTCATGTTCTTGTGAGTAGATAGTACCTAAACACTGATCAAAATCACCAAATCAAATATCAAAAATAAATAATATTATTTTATATGTCAGAGTCAAATATTAAAACACAATTGAAACTTACCATCTTTCGTTTAGGACATAGGAAAGCATGACACTCCATTGTTTCATTGCTGTTTGTAGCAATGAAGGCAAACACATGATCATATGTTGCATCAGCTGAACAGTATGAGATTCTGAAATTAGGAAAAATTCTAAATGAGCCAGTTACATCAAAATAACACAATTCACATAATTCAGGTATCTATATTGATTCCAACTAATGTCTCATGAGAAGAAAAATACATATATCTCAACCAAATATTATAACCAACAGTGATAAATTGTGGGAAGTAAATAGTTATATAAATAATAATGTAAGCAGTCAAGATCTTTATTTTTACTTTATTTTTATATGGTTACAAATTAAATAATTCATTTGAATTTGGGAAGACATCTAGAAACTGATGAGCTTCTGTGATATTTCTTAGCCGTTTATATCTTATGGTTTTGAGAGGAAGTGCTTGATACCAAGGTAATTAAAGTGCAACTGCAAAAAAAATTTTTTGTAGAGAAAATGAAGATTGATACTGCTTGCTTTTGTACAACTTGCTCAATGTAATACAATTTAATTAAATTAATCTCTATTCAGTTATTTTCAATTCATTTTATTCCAACTTATTTCATTCACTTCATTTGATTGCATCTATTTCATTTTATTCAACTCCAATTCAGTTCTACTCTAGATTCTCCTCTATAAACTTCCATTTCTTTCAGTTCTATTCTGTTCAATCCAATTCTTTCAATATTCAACATTTTCATTTTCAACAATAATCAACATTTTAAGGTGTGTGGCATAATGTTCACAGCGTTGTGTGGTATGTGGCATGGAGTGGTGTCATGTGGAGGCTTTGGTGTGGAGGGTTATGCATAATGTATGTGGTATGGTAGGAAACATGGTGTGGCTTCTCGCATTGTGTGTGGGCGGGGTAGTGTGGCATAGCATGATCTGATGTATAGTGAGCAGTGTGTGGCGAGTAGTGTGTGGCGAGTAGTGTGTGGTGAGTAGTGTGTGGTGAGTAGTGTGTGGCGAGTAGTGTGTGGCGAGTAGTATGTGGCGAGCAGTGTGTGGCGAGTAGTATGTGGCGAGCAGTGTGTGGTGAGTAGTGTGTGATGAGTAGTGTGAAGTGAGTGGTGTATGGTGAGCGGTTGTGGTGACTGCTATGTGATGTATTGGGTTTGTGGTGTGTCTTGGCGCGAAGAATGGATGTATGTGTTGATTGTATGACGAGTGACGGTGTGTGCTTGTGGTGCTTGGGTGGGTGTGTTGGCTTGTTGTGTGGTTGTTGCTTGTATGAGGTGGCTTGGTCATGGAGTGTGCTTGGTATGAGTGTGGCTGTATGGAGTTGGCTTGGTATGGAGTGTGGCTTGGTATGAGTGTGGCTTGGGTATGGATGTGCTTGTATGAGTGTGGCTGGTATGGAGTTGTGCTGGTAGAGAGGTGGACTGTTATAGGGGTGACTGTCATGGGAGGTGAGAACTGTAGAGTTGACTGGGGTATGTGTGACTCGTCACATCTGCGGATAACGACACTTCTAGGATGTTACTGGGTGGGAGTGGACTGGGTATGAGTGTGTCTTGGCCGAGGGGTACTGGTGGTTTGTCGTGTGTGCTCTGTGTGGCCGCACTGTTCTTGGTTGGCGTCTTGTGTGGGTCTCTTGTTGGCTCTGTTTGGTGTGTCTTGATGTTGTGTGTCTTGATGTGGGTTTGGTGCGTTAGTCTTGGTTGGCTCTGGCTGCATGAGACGATGCTTGGTGAGATGAGGCTCGTGGGTTGCTGTGTGTGTAATACGGACATAAGTTATGATGTGACAGGCGGTGGCGGCATGAAGTTGTGCGTCATTAGTGTGTGTGGCGTACCTGTAGATGGAAACGTCGAGGTGCAGCTCGTCGGTGGCCAAGTCCACCATGCGGATGCCCCTCAGGCTGACGCTGAGCGCCACGCGCGGCAGCTTGCGCCCGCTCGCCTTCGCCTGCGACATCGCGCCTCGTGAGAGCGGCTACAGACCACGCACCCACGCATGCACCCACCCACCCACGCACGCACGCACGCACCCACAAGCGGGCGCGCAGGCAGGCACGCACACACGCACCCACGCACGCACACACGCACGCACCCAAGCACACAAGCGCGAGCGCATGCACCCACGCACACACGTATGCTCGAACATGTACGCACATGCGCACGCGCGCACACACACACACACACACACACACACACACACTCCCTCACAGGTACTCAAACGATGTGACTTTATTGATGAAAACATTATGAGATACTTCATTCCAAATACTTTAAGTACAAAAATAAATGTAATTTATACTTTTAAAAAAATATATCAGATTATCATCAATATAACATAAATGACGACACACATTTTAAATTTATTTTAATTTTATAATTAAAAACTAACAAAAACAGTTTGACGTAGGGGATGGAAGAAGAAAAGAAAACCATTTAATACGAGTAATTGCCTGAACCACATTACGTGACAGAACGTATTCAATGTAGCACTTACATGCATATATATGCAACTCAAAATTAGAAATTGTCGTTGCAGATGCTAAGTCTGATATTTGGAATGATATTGAGAATGCGAACTTAATATTTAATTTTTACTCAAAAACCGCTGACGTGTTTTCGTAGCATGTTCCACTGGCAAATATCGCTATTGTCTAAATACTCTCTCATTGCAGTATTATGCAATTTGACATAAAAATCCAAAGTAAGAAACGGTGGTCGTCTCAAGTTCATCAATTTTTGTTTCGAAAAAACTAGCATAGTCCTGCGTGCGGGCGAGATAGTAAGCGAAGCCTGGAGGTTAGACCACCCACCATACACACGCAATACGACAGAGTTGATTCTGTTTCTAATCACAGTGTCAGTAACGAGCACCCGAAGAGTAGTTTTAAAATAAATGTCGGCAGAAGAGTAGGCAAAATGTCATACGTAAGAGTCTAAGAGTGTTGCATCGGCAAACATGTCTTCATTTTCTCAGCAAACTTCAAGTAAGACTCCAGAAATTCTTTTTATTCTATACAATAATATAATCAATCACCCAATTCAATAACCAGGACTACATTACATAGTACGATTATGCGATTGAGCTGGTCACACATTAGACGCTTATAAGAATAAACATTAAAATTCGAGCGATGTGTTTCTTATTTCTTCTTCCCTAATCTTGTGCAGACCTCTGCGTTGTTCATAATACTCGTACATTAGCTATCATATTCTGTGATCTTACAATCGTAGGTTTTATAATGTCTTGAATGGCATGCACTATCGTTGAAAAGTGTAGACGCCATGAAGTTTGCGGTAACCTTTGTATCGTCCTCGGAAGAGCTGAGCAAAAGGTGTTGTTAGCGAATCTATTAAATCATACTTGTAGTTAATTCAACAATGAAAAAAAATCTATTACTACTAGAAGACGAAAATTTGTAGTTTTCATTTGTTGCTAACCTCACTTCGATGGTATTTTTATTCGTCATTTAACTAAGGGTAAAAGAGTGGGATTGGGATTCTGGAGTTGAAGAAAACGTGAGCAGATTATACATCTCCCGCATACTGTTCTTTGACAAAACGAAATCAAATCTCCACCCCATTATGCAGCGCTTTCGCCACGTTATCCATTCGCTTTACGAGTGTCGCAAACGAGCGGCGAGCGGGCGCGCTCACCATGGTGATGACGGTCTTGATGGCGTCGGCGGTGGCCGTCTCACTGCTGGGCGTCTCGACGAGCGTGGAGCCCAGGTACTTGACGACGAAGGTGACGGCGTCGCCCCCTTGCTCGCCAGGGTCGCTCTCGCGCGCCGAAGCTAGCGCCCACTCCTCGCACAGCTCTGGAACACACACGCACACATCGTCAGATAAGGCTCTCGGGGGGCCGACATCACCAAGAAATCGTCAATGTTCCTAAATGCCTTTGTTCAAAATTAAAACATCAACCACAAACCATCGACGCGTTTAATCATCGATGTTTTAAAAATGGAATAGTAACAATTGAAGTTCGGCGGTGGGGGATAATGTGAAAGTAGCATCATTTATTCATTTTTATTGAAATTTAACAGACAAAAGAAAGTAAAAAAAATCGGACAGTTGACAAAACTCGCATTATTTTATTCGATAATTCAAATATTATAGAGGCTTCATTATTGTCGAAAACTCTTTTTTATATATTTTTAGTCCTTAGTCACGTTGGTCTGAAGAATATTCAATCTATGGATATCTGAACATTATTATAGAACTTTTTGTGATGGGATTTCCCATTTAAAAAAAATATCGATCACGTAAAAATATTGATGTTGGGAAACATGGATTTAAAAAGAATAAATGATAAATAATTCGATGATTTCATAAAAATTCATGTTTGAAAACATTGACATAAATGTAGAATTCATAAAAGCCATTTGGTTATATATTTGACATGTATTCTTCATATACATAATATGTCAGACATAATACTACACTATATATAGGTTCTCAGACTAAATGTTGCAAACTTCCAGGGCATGTTGAAAATTAACACATTTTGCTATAAACATATTATGGAAAATTCAACACAGTAGAGTTACACGTGTGACACTTGCCCCTGTATGTTAGGTAAGCCCGTACGCACAAGGGCTTAGCAGGTTCATTTAATCTCCTTGACTAGTCACAATGTGACCTGTAGAACTGTGTATAAGGAGTTGCCTAAAGATCAGGGAAAACGTCACATGTGTAACTGCTTTCTATGAAATGATATGTTCATGTTTGCAAAAAAGCTACCATTTTCGACCCATCGAGAAAGTCGACAGTGACAACGCGGTTCTGAGCTAAACTCAGCCAATAATTAACCTGGCTTCTAGTCGCTCTCCTTGAGGCAAAAGACGAGCAGTCTGGTTCATGCCTTGCGGTGAGTGGAGAACCGGTAGGTCACGTGACGCATGTCGATTAGTGGAGCGATTGAAGTATCGATGTCGAGCTGGGTCTGTGTCACGTCAAGGCTTACGCACGGTGCAATCCCAAACCGTTTTGATCGCCCGTTGACAGCTGCCAAGTTGCACTCAACGTCCCATCCGCTGTTCCTGGTTTAAATGGAAGAATGAAGCTGTGTATTTTCTTATAGAAAATACGAGGGTTATCGCAAATGTCACAAGGAATATTGAACAGGCATAAATCCTCCTTGAACAGGCATAAATAAATGAGAGTGTATCTACTAATTAAATCAATCTAATATCATGTTAGCAGTAATTGGTTGAAACTTTAATAAATGTTTTTTATTTACAGTTTTTTAATCTTACATTTTCTTATACTGTAAGGCAGGAGCTTTACAAGATTGGACAGAGATGTAACTCAGCACGTATAACACTAGAGTTTCAATAATTAATTTACTTACATATTTTAGAAGGAAATAAGTAAAACATACGAGGAAAATTACGAGTATACATACGGATACATTTAATTAATATAATTGACAAATACTTTCGATTTTACGTTGAACAATTTACAGGGTTAGCCGATCCGGTGGCCGAGATCGCTAAGGCAGTAGTGCCGTAGCGAACTCGGACCGAAGGATCGTTAGTTCGAGTCCCGCCTCGGGCATGGTTGTACTGTGTTTCGTCCTTTCACCCCCTATCATCATCATTATCGTGTCAACCTACAGTTACCATACCGTTACAAGCATTAGTGGACGCTAATGACCTAGTAGTTGATGCGACCAAAAAAAAAAAAATACAGGGTTGCTAGGTGGGCTTTCCTCTTCTCCGAATGCCATTCCCCAAACTGCCGGCTTAAATTAATAATTAATCAAATAAATACATTTATTTGCAGAAAAAACAACATAAAGTGCTGAGTCTCCCAACTTGAAAACATTTCTAAATATTTCTTACCTTGTATTTTCGGGCGAGTGGTAGAATTTTTGTCATCATAAGAACATTTACTTCGCTTATTGAAAATAACTCCAAACAAATCGTTTTGCAATATGCTAGACAATATTTGTTTATTTATAACACCGAAAATTAAATACTAATATCTGATGAAAATAATTGGTGTGATAGGGATCCAAATAGTGACAAAATGTTGAGATACCATTTTGAGATAATCGTAATTTTATTGTCACATTTTTCGTGTGTAATTCAAATATGAGCTGATTGACAATAGCACAGCAACATAGACATTAAATATTCACATTCTTCTTCATTTTCTCTAGAAGACTGTGGGTATCTTAGCACATGGATTACCGTCTTTCCTAGAACTCATTTGTGCGGTGACTTTGGAACACGTGTTATCGTGGCGTCTCAGATTGGAGAAGGTCGACGTCTCAAAGTCGTTCCCACGGATTACAGTGACGGTAACTTCCTCGGTCAACTTGATATAAATAGTTTTACAATCACAGTGGGATAACTACTTTTACTGTAGTACATACTCATACAGAAGTGATGGGATTGCCAAGCCTGAGATTGCCATTTTCAAATACAAAAATATTCAGATATAATTCCTCTAATAATCTTTGCAATGTAATACTCAATTATGATTATCTCAGTTCTAACATATTCTACAACTACTCTCTTAATGATAATATACAAGGGTAAAGCAATACTTTTACATCTCTACTTTATGTGTGCTGTCATGGTATAGTTTAATATAGCTTATGTGGGAGGCTGTTAATCGAGGGGAATGGAGAGATAAATAAAAGTTGTATAAAATGTTTTACTATGTGATTCTAAAAAAATAAAATGTTTTGTTTGTGAATAATTACTAATGGGGCATCATTACAGAGCAGCAAATGTTACATACAATGATAAGTATTATGTATTTTTGTAACTTGAAATACATTCTTGGAAATGTTCTGAGGCCCTTAAATTTATATTCCTTACATTGATGAACGGTATATATTCCAAGAATATCTAATATTTTGTTTTAAAAAAATTGGTTTCTTCAAGTCATTAAACATTACAACGGTTCGTCAAATGGTAAAAAAAAACACGATATGTTTAAATACAGTTACACTTTTTCTACTAATCCACTGATGTGGGTATACATTTCTAGTTCGAGGGGAACGTGTGTTCAAAGACATGCTTCATGGAGAGGAATGTACTGACAAACACAACGCCCTTCATCCTGTCAAAGATATCGCGTTTTATCAATTCTTAATCCCTCGGAAAAAACAAGTGTCTTGTCTTCTACAAATAAAAAGACGTCACTAAAAGTCTGTGACATACTTCGGAACAAATGTTCTTACTTTTCTGCGAAATGAACATAATGTTATCACTTATGTTGATCACGTACGGCTTAATCTTAGCAATTGTTTTAGGAATTACAATGGATTCCATTTCAATCGACGATTGAAGAAATAGAAAAAATAAAATACGGACTGATTTCTTTCCTCTTCTTTTATAGCTTTTCCTCCTACACAGCTACTTTTTGCATTAAATTTAAATATGTCGCTCAAATGTATCTGCAGTAAAAACACTCTCAATATAATTTAAATAGATATACATTGTTTAAAATTGGCTTAATTTTAAACGAATTTTTACGTTTTGATTGGGAGATTGGACAACTGTCGGAAAATCGTGTAGATATTATCAATGCATTTAATAATTTGACTTAACATTTTGATAATTCTTATAAGATTTTATTGTGTGCTATTTGGACGGGAGAAGAGCAGGCTATTGCCACAAATCAACATATTCGTGTGCTGCCACCTAAAAAAGTCTGTTTCTTCAGTTTCCTTAATCAACATCATACATTTTGGACTTTTCACTTTAATGTGCATAAGAACATTAACGTGCAATTGCTTGGTCGAATCCAGCCACTGTCTGGAGGAGAATTCTAGCGGCCGGCTGCTCTGATTGGTAGGTTTCCGTGGTTTATCCGATTACTAGGGCGATTGGTAGGCTACGGATCGCGAGTGATATTTGATTCCTCTTCCTTTTGTCGTATCATCACTCATTACTTACACATTACACTATCATCCACTACACTACCATACTAGGGAGGCGACATCTAAGTCGATGTTTTCAAATCATCGATGTTTTAACACCGACGTTTTATAAAACAACGATGTTTTGTGATCGATGCTTTTTATTTTGTTTCTCAATGGAAACTTCCCATGATCATAATACTGTCAAAGTTAAAATATGAAATAATAACTGATAATAACACTGTTATTCATGCGTTGGAACCAAAGGAACGCTATTTGCACATCCACCATCGACCCAACTCTCTCGCCCGAGATGACCTCCATGCCCTTGTATTTTCTCTTTCTTCACATTGAGATATGGTCAACAAATACGCCGTGGGTGTAGGGTCAGCCCTTTCTTCTCGTACCCTTTTTCGGCGAATTCATAAACACGAACACTGTCAATTTTAATTTTAATGCACACTAATTTATGATGTTTGAAAACATTGCTGGTTGTTTGTCGATGTAATTTGAACGTCGATGTTTTAATTTTGAACATCGGTGTTTGCTAACATCGATGTCTGTCATCGATGTCCTACCACTTTACTGTACATGTCGGGAACTTATTATAACTTTTCGGGGCTAGGGTGGTTTCCCGCTGGCGGAGACACCTGGACGCCCTCACTTTTTCCAAGGCGACGCGTGAGTCGGCGCCGGATCACACCACTCAGCGATGCAGACACATTGCTCTCTCCAAGTACAAAAACATTCACCACACTAACGGGAAAATCGACCACAGCAGTTAACGCTCCCGGAAACATCAATATATCAATCGCCTGGGTTTGGATGGTTACCTGATTGTTGTGGCATGGTGAGCTGTCTCTTCTATAAAAAACTTTTTTTTCTTTTGTGTTCTGCCTACATGGCATACACGGACGACGCCATTTGTCAATACTTGCATTTCTGCTGATGGCCGGTGGAGCTCTGTGATGGGAGGCGGTGGAGTACTACACAGGCGTGGCCTTGCTTCTTCCTCTATCTGCTAATACAGAACTAGCACGTTGGGGCTCTTGGGCTGAGCCAGTGCTCGTTGGAAAGGTACGAATTGAATGTATGAGCCGAATAGAATGGGAAAACCAAGACAAGTGCCATGGTGGCCGCACCTGGAGAGCTAGTCAGTCTCAACGATGCAACTCCTCAAAAGAGCAAGCTTACCTCAAGAGAGATAAGTGGTATACTTGTGCAGTATTAACATGGAGGGTGTGGGTAAACTCCTAAAAAGCACAATCACGTCAATTCGTTTTCAAAATTTCAGTAAGTTTGTGTTTTGGTTAGAAATATTTTTTAAAATGCTTGAGACTCTCGCGATGTAGAAGTAAAATCTCATTGCTCCTGGGAAAAGTTAATATTATGCATTAGTTTTTTTCCTGTTTCTTAATTCCGAATTACGTTAAATCCTCCCCTGATAATCATTTTAGTTTCTTAAGGAAATTAAAAATAAAGTATTTCACCGGGAAAAGTTGAGAATTGTATTTACAGACTACCAGAAAATCAACAGCCCAACCATAAAACTGTAAGCTAAAAAATAGGATATTTCATTTCAGTGAAAGCAAAACTTGATTTCTTGAATTTTCAAAGATAAATTGACCTCAAAGGTTGGAAAATGCAGTGATATATGAAAATTAGGTTCAATTCGATGGAGGAAAAACGTTTTTTGAGGAAAAACACATTTTGGGAAGCTTTTGACTTGTGGGTCATTCTTTAGGCAGGACGACAAAACCTCTTCTCTGGACGATGCTCTTTTGCAGATAAGAACACTGTGAGCTATCGCGATTATGAAGTTTCGAGATAAAGTCGATCTCTGTAACAAAAGGCATTCTCGCCACGTAATCTCCTAAGTAGTAACACACTCTTCGTAGAAACTTGCGTCAGAAGGATGTTAGTGAAAAATTCTCTTGAAAGGAAAGTGATTGATTTTATCTAGCTACTTTCCTGCAGGTACTTTCAAATCAGCATATTGCCCATTCGATTTACAAGATTTTAAATTCAGGGAAAGAATTTAAGTTCAGAAAATATTAACGTCATTTGGTGCTAGCGGAAAAAAATAGGACTAGTTGGTATCTCAGAGTCTGATTTGTATCACTCAATACTGAAATTAAATCTTCCACATATAATGTATTAATATTATTATGAACACAATCAAACGTGCCCGGGAACAATTTCTGTTTTATTTCTTTAAAATTATTTTAGGTCGCTTCAGAATTAATCAAAATCATTAATAACGATTATTATTTTACGCACGAATCATTAACCTTTCCTGATGCAATAAATACGTATCTATTTGCAGGTAAGTGGGAGTAACGTCACAAAACTCATTTTAAAACTGACGCAGAACGTCTATGAGCGAAACGATTATCAGCCAGCTCAGTAAAATATCGATGTTGATCAATTTTTCTAACTCACATCTGTCAATGATAAGCATAAAAACTGTGTCCCACAGAATTATTCAGGATGTACACAACCGGAATCCACCGTTTACAGGAGCGCAGTTATTTCGTATTTGCACGCGCGCGAATAGGAAAGACACGGATTAGATCGCGGAAATAATTCGTGTTCAATTTAGACCCTACTGTCGCAGTGCATTTCTGTATGACTTCCGAGTGTATTTCTGTATTACTTTCGAGTGTCATTTCTGTATACTTTCGAGGTATTTCTGTATTTACTTTCGAGTGTTATTTCTGTATTACTTTCTAGTGTACCTTCGTGATACGTAAGGTTAACCCATTCGCATCTGAAAGCGATTAATATTCGATTACCGATACCATCCAGGTAGCGAGAGAATACCAATGTGGAGAGGGAGATTAAGGGTGAAGTACAGAATAAATTCACTCTGAGACCATAAAACCCTCCACCCTCAATTATATTAAATCAGTAAGTAATTAACTGGCACACGCGTAACAAATTCATTAAATATCTAGGATTATTAATGGATACACAATTAAACTGGAAACAGATCCAGTTCCATATAACAGACCAGCTTAGTTCCATCTTCCATATACTATACGCGCAAGTCTTCTTGATATTTCACAGCGGGGAGTGCGGGGAGAGGCGGCCTCTGGCTACGTCATGGCTTAAAAGGGCGTACCAACTGTGCGCCTGAACTTAACTCGCCAAAGTGTGGCACGTGATATGGTAAGTCTTTTTAAAGGTACGTGATGATTGTTGCCAGCACTGTACATTGGTACGTGCCGTTCCGAATCTAACCTAAGTATCGCAACGTTCCGTGTTATTCAGCGCTGGATGATGAATAGGGAGCACGTGTATCAAGAAAACTTGCGCTAGTAATAACAGACCAGCATAACTTCCACATTTATTATATGATTGTCCAGTTTGGATAAATGACGCAAGATCGAACCCAAAAACCTTGAGATAGTTAAAAACCAGTTTCTCCACGCAATTGCAAATGCATCATGATTTACTTTCAAACAACCGCTGTACACTCGAAACTATAGAAAACCACATCACGTATCTCTCCACAGTTTTACCATAGATTACCTAAAATAACCAGAATATGTACCCTCCGGTTACAGAGAAATCCCACCCATGATATACGTATTAATAATAAATTTACCTCTTCCATACCTAACTTTCAAAGTTTTCCGAAATGTAACTCCCCTGAGATCTCCACATAAAGGATTCCGCCCCCAAAAATGTAAAGAATTAAATTATTAGCATTAAGTTTATATTAAGTCAACAATACAAATGGGGAGTATGAACTGAACACTGTGAAAATGTTTATACTAAAAAAATTGAGGGAAAATTTTATAAATTTAATGACTAATGTTACGTATATTTAGTAATATATTGCAATACTTTGATGGAAGCTTTTGTAAAAATATTTTCAGTTTTTTAGGCACGGAAAGGGCGTATTAATTGTGAACATTTTATGTCCATACTTAGTGAGACCAAGCAGGAACATAGAGTTTGTCCCAGCTGGGTAGTGCCACACATCTGGATAGGAAAACACCAGCAAGTCTACTCGTAGGTCGTCGCCGGTTCTTGCCATCCAGCGGGGGCAAAAACACCGCCACCAACATCACCACCACCATAACCCGTCATAAAACGTGCACTACACTTACGGGACTAATGACCGTAGCCGTTACCGCGCCCGGAATGACTAATCAATTAATCAATGGAATGAACATGCTTGTTGAAAACTGGAAAAAAATAAAAGGAACTTCAAGTCTCGCAAAGTTGCATGTGTGTGTATTGCTGTATGTTCTGATTCTGTCAATTACGTAGTTAATTAGTCCCGTATGTGTAGTGTATGTTATAATCCAGGAGATGCTGGTGTTCCTCGACTGCGAGAGCTGGCGCCGACCTACACATCGGCTTGCTTGTAATTCTCCCCACTGTTCTCCACTTGCGGCA